TGTCCTCTAACCCAGCAATGTTCAAGTTTAAGATGCAATAGGTCACAATCAACCGTATCAAATGCTTTTCGTAGGTCTATGAAAGTCCAAGGAGAATTTTTTTTTTTTTTTTGAGTGCCATATACAGAAGTTCAAACATATGTATAATTGCATAATTAGTACTTTTTTTTCAGCCTAAATCTAAAATGACAGGGGTTAAGTAGGGGCAAGTTTGATATAGGCCTATAGTTATTCAATTCAGTTGGGTCACCTCCTTTGAGGATTGGGGTAACTCATGCTGTCTTGAGTATAGATGGGAAGGTAGAAGATTCAATAGATTTGTTAAAAAGAGTTGCAATTATTGGTGACAACACAAGAAGCTTTTTGAACATGAGTGGTGGTAAGTTATTTAGGTCTCCTGTCTTGTTCTTTATTGTTTTGATGATAAGCGAGACTTCTGTAGGGTTTGTTGGAGCTAGAAATAGAGTATTTGGGTAGTTATCAGTGAGGCAGTCTTTTGGCTGAGTATTTGTTTGAGATTTTGTTTCCTAGCTTTGTCCCTACGGTTGAGAAAAAGACATTAAATTTGTTGACAGTATCTGTTGGCTGGAGGAGAGGTTCTTCTGGTTTCATTAAGTTAATCACTGTTTTGAGACAGCTTTTTAGATCCTAGAATTTCAGATAGGGTTTTCCAGGTCTTTTTCATATCCCCTTTTATGTCATACAATCTGTTTTTATAATACAGTTTTTTAGACCTCCTTATTAAATTAGCAAGTATTAAGGAGTAATGTTTTGTTATTAGACCCATTCTGTACTGTTTTTCTTATATATTTTTTTTATCAAAGAATCTGAGGATGCTGTTTGTAAGCCAGGGGCTGTTTAGTTCCTTTGCTGTGATCTGCTTTGTTTTTATTGGGCAATGCCTATTATAGAAGTTTTGGTTTTTTTCTAAGAAAATTTTGGCACATTCATCATTATCAAAGTTGACTGCTAGCTCACTCTGCCAGTCAATGTTACTTAATACTGAAATAAAGTTATTAACTGACGACTCGTCATGTAGTCGGAATGTGATCTTGTGTCCTGGGGCAATTTACATAAGTTGGTTATGAGAAAGGTGGGATAGTGGCCAGTGGTGTTATCTGTGATTATGCCTGCTTTCAATGGAGTTAGTGTTTGTCCAGATATGATCTAGTAATGAGACACTTGTCTTGGAGACTCTTGTTGGTTTAGTTACAGATGGCAGAAGTAAACAGTTCCTCATAGTGTTTGTGAATTCAGTTACTTGTGGGTCATGGTCATGGATGTGGTTCATGTTGAAGCCACCTCTAAGTATCAGGTGGTGTTTATTCATCTCTGTCAGTTATCATGTTTCTTAGGTTTTCACAGAGTAAATATGGGAGTGAGGTACTCTGTAGATTACTCCAACTGTTAAAGGCTTTTTTAAATTTTTTGATTTAAATTTAGCAAGTGTATACCTTGTATACCATACCTTCTTGATGGACCCCCAAGAATAAGTAAGCAAAATTTCTCCTTTCCCTTTAACCCTTTCAGGGTTCCCAGGCCCTCTCCCAGACTCGTTCTCAGGGTCGCCCAAATTTCAAAAAAAAAAAAAAAAAAAAAATTCTTATGAAAAGATAGAGAATCTTTTCCTGATCATAATGACACCAAAAGTATGAAATTTGATGGAAAACTCACGGAATTATGCTCTCGCGAAGTTAGTGGTCTCGACGATGTTTATGCATTGGCGATTTTGCCCACTTTGAGCCCTATTTTTGGCCACTTCAACTGTACTAGTCGACAAAAATCATGAATATTTCACTAGAACTCCATTTTTTCTATCGAATGAGTGCATGAAACCACCCATTTACCGATTTCAACTATCCAATAAAGTGGTCAGAATTTAGCAATTTTGCCAATTTCACACAAATTTCAAAAGATGCCAATTTCCAAATAGGGTCCAGAATAAACAAGAAAGACATTCCTGGCACTAAAATAACATTTCCTCTGTTCATTAAACACGGCCCCACACTCCTCTTACATTCTTTTGCTTTCAACTTTGAATTTTTATTCTCACAAAAAATAGAAGATTTACTGTTATGCAGACTACTGCATTAGTGTAGAAATGGCATAAATAATATTGGCGCACTCATGAAAGAATGTTAGACTCACCAGTTGACGTGTATTGGAGACTTGGCATGATTTATTTACTTTTGAACTTTGGTAAAAATCGAGCATTTCTGCTACTTTGAGCTCAATTTCAAAGTACTTTTCATTGTAGAACCAGTCAAAATCATCTCAATTTCTGTAATATGTCTTCCATTCTATAAAATGAGACCAGGAAAACTAGAATACAACCATAAATACCATACGAAAATACAGTGCAAAGTCGCTGTTTTAATCCAAAAACACGGTCAAAGTTTGTTTTTTTTCTCATTACGCAGTGAGTGCTGCAGGATTATTTTTATACTGTGCACACTGACCACATAGACCCATTCTTTCATATGTAGGCCTACCAGCTTTCTCTCACTAGATTTGAGGGCGCTAGAATTTAGGCGTACTAGTACGTCAAGAACCCTGGTGCGTAAGCCGTACTAGTACATCCGAAACCCTGAAAGGGTTAATATACGAGGGCTCTTTAACCCTTTCAGGGTTTCGGCTGTACTAGTACGGCTTACGCACCAGGGTTTTTGACGTACTAGTACGCCTAAATTCTAGCACCCCCAAATCTAGTGAGAGAAAGCTGGTAGGCCTACATATGAAAGAATGGGTCTATGTGGTCAGTGTGCGCAGTATAAAAAAAAATCCTGCAGCACACAGTGTGTAATGAGAAAAAAAACAAACTTTGACCGTGTTTTTGGATTAAAACAAACGACTTTGCACTGTATTTTCGTATGGTATTTATTGTTGTATTCTAGTTTTCCCTGGTCTCATTCTATAGAATGGAAGACATATTACAGAAATTGAGAGGATTTTGACTGATTTTACAATGAAAAGTACTTTGAAATTGAGCTCAAAGTAGCAGAAATGTTCGATTTTTACCAAAGTTCAAAAGTAAATAAATCATGCCAAGTCTCCAATACACGTCAACTGGTGAGTCTAACATTCTTTCATGAGTGCGCCAATATTATTTATGCCATTTCTACACTAATGCAGTAGTCTGCATAACAGTAAATCTTCTATTTTTTGTGAGAATAAAAATTCAAAGTTGAAAGCAAAAGAATGTAAGAGGAGTGTGGGGCCGTGATTAATGAACAGAGGAAATGTTATTTTAGTGCCAGGAATGTCTTTCTTGTTTATTCTGGACCCTATTTGGAAATTGGCATCTTTTGAAATTTGTGTGAAATTGGCAAAATTGCTAAATTCTGACCACTTTATTGGATAGTTGAAATCGGTAAATGGGTGGTTTCATGCACTCATTCGATAGAAAAAATGGAGTTCTAGTGAAATATTCATGATTTTTGTCGACTAGTACAGTTGAAGTTCAAAAGTAAACAAATCATGCTAAGCATCCAATACACGTCAACTGGTGAATCTAATATTCTTTCATGAGTGCGCCGATATTATTTATACCATTTTTTTACACTAATGCAGTAGTCTGCATAACAGTAAATCTTCTATTTTTTGTGAGAATAAAAATTCAAAGTGAAAAGCAAAAGAATGAAAGAGGGGCATTGGGGCATGACTAATGAACAGAGGAAATCTCATTTTAGTGCCAAGAATGTCTTTCTTGTTTATTCTGGACCCTATTTGGAAATTGGCATCTTTTGAAATTTGTGTGAAATTGGCAAAATTGCTAAATTCTGACCACTTTATTGGATAGTTGAAATCGGTAAATGGGTGGTTTCTTGCACTCATTCGATAGAAAAAATGGAGTTCTAGTGAAATATTCATGATTTTTGTCGACTAGTACAGTGGAAGTGGCCAAAAATAGGGCTCAAAGTGGGCAAAATTGCCAATGCATAAGCATCGTTGAGACCACTAACTTCGTGAGAGCACAATTCCGTAAGTTTTCCATCAAATTTCATACTTTTGGTGTCATTATGATTGGGAAAATATTATCTTTTCATAAGAAAAAATATTTTTTTTTTTTAAATTTGGGCGACCCTGAGAACAAGTCTCTGAGAGGGCCTGTCGACCCTGAAAGGGTTAAGTAACACACCAGCATGGGTTAACATTTAAAATTCTTCAACATTTTGGTGCAGAGAAACATACAATGGATGGCCTTGAACCCAGGTGGAACCATCTGCTCATGGATGTAGGTTGCTGATGGCTTTAATTTCCAATAAGATCTGGACTCATAAACAATGAACACTTGGTTATACATAATAACAATAACTATTAAGATAAAATCAAACAAAATCCAGACGAGTGTGTATACATAAACATGTACATGCACGTGTAATGTGACCTGAGTTTAAGCAGAAGTAGAAAGACATACCTGAAATCTTGCATGTTTATGAGACAGAAAAAAAAACCCAGCAATCCTATTATCATGTAAAACAAACACGGGCTTCCGTTTTACACTCACTTGGCAGTACGGTAATACCTCCCTGGGCAGTTGCTGTCTACCAATCTACTGAACACCAAATTTTGAAATTGCATTAAAAAAATGTTGCAATGCACAAGGGTTTACTGGACCTATTCACTTGATAATAACGGAAAACAAAATTGCAGTACCTCCAGTAGCTAAGATGAGTTTACAGTCATCAAAACCACAAAGCACCTTTTGCTGTGACAATGCAAATATTTAATTTTTACAAATGGTACTGCAAATAAGTGTCTGATTCCAATGTCATCCAAATATAGTGAAGGTTAATTTATTCATAAGTTCTGATGGCATAAGTTCTAATTTATTCATAAGTTCTGATGGCATAAGTTCTAATTTATTCATAAGTTCTGATGGCATGATGCATCTTGCTAAAGACATAAGAAATCCCTGTTGAGCACCTACACTTGTAAAAGTCCATGCATAAAACACAATAGAGTATCTGGTACAAAAATTGTTTATGGTCTGTACAAACCTGTCTCTGTGGGCCCCTTGAACCTGTCTTCATACCAGTCAGTCCTTGCTGAGTGATGGGGCGATCCACAACATTAATCTGAAAAAATCAACATAGTAATATTCAATCAGTATTCAATATCCCTAACTAAAAGACAAAGAAGGAAACTTTAAAGTTGGGTTGTTTGAATGTGTGTGGGTATACAGGTTAACCATCACTAATCCAACACCATCGGGACCTGTAGGGTGCTGGATTAGTGATTTTGCCAAGTTACAAAGTGGTTATGTTAGAATACACTTAACCTAACGGCAGTGTTTACGCACTGGCGATTTCACCCATTTTACACCCTACTTTTGGCCCATTCCATTGTTCCAGTCAACCATACTCATAGCTACAGGTTCGCCATCACAAATCCGGCAATCAGACATCCGGTTCCATCAGTTATTTGGCACTAATTTCGGCTAGCATAATTTCAAATTTCCAAGGTTGCCACACCAACCTGCTGGTACTGTTTGGTGGTGCTACTTGCTGCATAAGTCATTCCAATTTCTTTTTCTCCATTTATTGTTATAACCTGCTTACTTTTAGCCGTAGCCATGGTTCCAATGAATAAAAGAAATGTTTCTCGTTGTGTAAAGCACATACACAGTACATTATCCATAAAAGATAAGGTGGCTTTGAAGCCAATGTCAATTGCCATGAGCTCAGTCTCATGATGCAGGGGAATATGCTTTGTTATGCTAATATCAACACTACGACTTATTTGCCCATCACAATTGATCTAATATGACATAATAAACAATATAAATAACATAAAAACATGTTAAATACTCCAGAATTAACAATATTTGGCATAATACCGAGCAGTTCGACAGCAGCATGAAGAGGATATGGGATACAAGTACCATTCTCCTATCCTTGTCTTGGGGGCTGATATTAGAGTAAACGGAGTATAGCACATGGCTAACTGTGATATACACTCGTATTGCACCATAAAACTGAAACGAAAAAGTTCTTTTCTCTACATAGATTATCATACACAGCAGCATATGTGTAGAGAACCTAGGATAACCCAAACAAGTCAAAGTGGCTTATTTCTAGTACCTGGCTTGGGCTTGCCATATATGATTTTTGGTAAATATTTGATTCCCAGCCAGGGTAGAAACATTGGGCGTGTTTCTTTACAACTGTTGTCTATGTTCACCCATCAGTAAATGGGAACCTAAGTGTTAGTGGACTGGTGTGGGTCTTATCCTGGGACATTGACCTAATTTTCCTGAAATGCTTAGCATAACAAGAGGCTTTCTATATAGTGCTCAGATACAACAGCTTAACTGAATTATGTATTAAAAGAAAGGTCTGGCAACAGGTTTAATTTAAGAAAAACTGGATAAATAGCTATAAGAGATGTGACTGAATGTGTAATGACAGCAGTTTACTAGATAATTCATTAGTAGGTAAAAGGTTTATGGGTAACTTTTGAATTCACATGTTTTTAGA